ATTTCATTTTGTAATATAACACCGCTAATCTGTATTTGCAGACGAGCGAGAGCAGCCGGTCCCTGAAGACGACGACGACGACGAGGTCCGGAAGCTCAAAGTCTGCATCGAGCTGAAGGGGCTGCGGCTCAGCAAGCCCGCTGCCGGCGCCGCCTCTCCCGACGGGCCCCTGATCAAACAGGAGAGGGCGTGGGCCCTGCCGCGGCTGGCGGCCCCGTTCCAGAGCCAGCGGGATCGCAAGATCCGGCCCGGCGAGCCGGACGCCGCGGCGGCCCACAGAGCCGAGATCAACAGGAAATGGGGCTGCGAGAAGCTGCTTAATGGTAAGAATGAGCCGTCAGCAGAGTTCATCTCGGGTAACGGAAATCTATCCTTGGCTCACGTTTCACTTTCTTGTTGAGCGGCCTGACTTTGGGGGGGGATTTTCCGTGAGCCTTTCTGGGGAAAGCGAGAGGAAGTGAGGTAGAGAATACTTCCTCTGCCAGAGGAAAGGCCGGGGAAACACAAACCGGACCCCGGCGCCCTTTAACCTTCTTCTTCTTCTTGATGTGGTCTTCAGCGCGGATTAGGAAGGTGGGTGGTGGAGATGTGCGACGGCAGGTGTGACTAATGTGTGATCAATGATTATTCTCTTTTTTTGTTTTTCCCCGAGAGTAGTTGCAGAGAAAGGGGGGGTGGGGAGACACGCGTGTGCGTGTGTGTGTGTTGAAACCGGGGCTTTCCCTTGTTCAAGTGCAAAAAAATGAGACGGAGGGCGAATAGAAGCGCGGTGAATAAAGCAGAGGTTTGAGTTTTGTGTTTCCTGCAGAAACCACAGGCCTCGATTGGCCGCTGATTTATTTTTCCCCATTCTTACCTTTTCAGATAGCATCTCCCTGGCAACAGCCATGTTTTTACGATGATTGTGGTTATTCCACAACGGCTTAGGGCTTTTTTTTTTTTTTTCCTTAGGACTCCACTAATGAGATGCAGCTCGCTCATGACTGTTAATCATTTTGCATTCTGAAAAGGTTTCTATTGCTACAGATGTATGATTCCACTTTCCTCCTCATTGGGTCTGATTTCACCCCTGGTTTATTCTTACGGTCCGCGTTCCCGAGTGGTTAGAAATGCTTTGCGGTGATCCTGCAACTCGATTTCCCGTTGAGCGATTAAACTGAATTTCGTCATTGTGCTCTCAAGGGCAGGTGTTTGTTTTTCGTGTAAATATGTATTATTAGAAGCTGGAACTACACGGTGCCACATTTGTTTAAGGAGATTACTCCTAGCGTCTTTGCTGCACCAAATCCGTGTGCGTTACTTAGGTGGGGGGGGGGGTTATATGAACCCGGGGGCTTTTTATTTTTTTGCGATTTTGTTTTTTCCCGGAGCGAGCCGGCACGCTGCGCTGCCAGACAGCTCTGTGCGCTCATTAATAAACCAACAGAGGGTGAGAGATGGCCTTGCAATACCTTCCCATCCTCCCCCTCCTATCAGCCTCTCACTCTG